AAGCAGGCTCCAGGCTCTGAGCTGTCAGCACAGAGCCCAATTGTTTTTTAGTATTTGGGTTAGCACCTCGTGTTATATGGAAGTGCTGAATCACTATATTTGTACACCTGAAACTAATCTTACACTGTATGTTAATTAAGTGGAATTTATTATTATTTTTTTTTAATGTTTGTTTATTTTTAAGAGAGAAAGACAGAGACAGGGCATGAGCAGAAGAGGAGCAGAGAGAGGGGGAAACACAGAATCCAAAGCAGGAGCCAGGCTCCAAGCTGAGCTGTCAGCACAAAGCCCAAAGCAGGGCTTGAACTCATGAACCGTGAGATCATTACCTGAGCCAAGTTGGACGCTTAACTGACTGAGCCATCCAGGTGCCCCTAAACTTCTTGAATATTATTTGACTTTCTGAATGATATATTATTTTATAACAATTAAAATTTAAAATCAAAATGGCAATACAACTAAAGACACTAATATCTACCAAATTGTAAAATGTCAGAGACCACCACTTACAATGAACTTCCACACTAACTTGTATAGCTACTGAAATAAAGCTTTCCTGCCATCTCAGTTTAGCTGAATATGCTGAAATTATAAGATAAGCTAATAGAAAACCATTTAAAATTATTTGTGTGACTCACCATTTTCTTGGGAATACACCTTCAAAATCAGATAGAGAAATAAATTAGATGATAAAACTATTAGGCCGCAATTGTCATCTAAAACCCCAAATTTTCATTTTCACTAAAATCCCAATGTTTTCATTAAATGATCTTATATGAAGTCAGTATTATTGCGTTAGTAAGCTTTTAAAGATCAACATAGTAGATGAGTCCCACTACATACTACCTACTACTCTACTGGGTAGAAGGGTAATCTTGGATTGAAATTTGGGGTTGTAAGGTCTGTGCCATGATTTTGTTCAGCTCTGCTGGGGGCCTTCATTCACATTCCTGAGAGGGTAGAAAGCAGGCCCAAGAGGAAATGAGGAAGGCTCTGAAAATACAAGGTGAAAAGTTTACCAGGCTAAAGCGACTGAGAGGAAAGTTAAGCAGGATTTTGGCTAGTGCGATTACAGTAGGGTGTATAAAAGTAGACTGAAAAATCACTTTCTGAGACATTTTCACATCCATAATGTCAAAGCTACACTAGTATGTTAGAGCTAAAAATCATATTGGGTCATAATGGTGTTAACATTTGGATTCTAGAATGAAGCAAAAGCATCATTAGTCAATTCAATATTTACTATACACTGTAAGTCATGTTTTATAGCAGAACCTAGAGCACCAATGTCACGAAAATACCTTCTAAAGGATAGAGTTAAGGGAAAGTGGATGGGAGTACAGATGACACAAGAGTTGCCATGAGCTGATAACTACTGTAGTTGGATGAATCACTGCTCTCATTTATATATGAAATTGTCCATAACAAAATTAAAGAAATATATACTCTGATCTAATAAAATAATAGTTCTCCCCATTTTCATTTCCTTTTATAAAGCTTTTTCTTTCATGAATTCATATTTTGAAGGCTTGATAAATTATACCTAATTTGTATAATCATTTTTATCACTCAAATACATATACCAGAGCTGACAGTGAGCCTAAGATAACCAGCCTCCCAGTGCAGTCTTTCACTCCATTCATTATTCACTCTACATATCACTTCCAAATGTTCATTAGTCCCTACCTGAATGTTTCCAGGGAAGGATAAAGTAATTAAGTTCAAGTCAAGTCCATTTTAAATGGACAGTGCAGGGGGGCCTGGGTGGCGCAGTCGGTTAAGCGTCCGACTTCAGCCAGGTCACGATCTCGCGGTCCGTGAGTTCGAGCCCCGCGTCAGGCTCTGGGCTGATGGCTCAGAGCCTGGAGCCTGTTTCCGATTCTGTGTCTCCCTCTCTCTCTGCCCCTCCCCCGTTCATGCTCTGTCTCTCTCTATCCCAAAAATAAATAAACGTTGAAAAAAAAAAAATTAAAAAAAAAATAAATGGACAGTGCAAAATGTAGGAATGTTTTTCATTATGCTAAAATATCTCATTATCAGAAACATGATATATTTCTCTCAAGTAGTTATGCTTACTGAAACTTCCAGGGAACCTACCCTGAGTTGCTACTTAATTCTGACTAGATCTAAAAATACAATCACTGGTTTATAGTTATTAGAATTTTTCACTGCAGAATCTTTTATTTTTTAAATTTTTATTTTATTTTTTAATGTTTGTTTATTTTTGAGAGACAGAGCATGCACAAGCAGGGGAGGGACAGAGAGACAGAGAATCCCAAGCAGGTTCTGCACTGTCAGTGCAGAGCCTAACTCGAGGCTCAAACCCACAAACCACAAGATGGTAACCTGAACCAAAACCAAGAATCAGCTGCTTAACCAACTGAGCCACCTGCGCACCCCTGAAGAATCTAACTTTTAAAAGTTAGACTGGGTGGCTTAGTCAGTTAAGCAACTGACTCTTGATTTCGGCTCAGGTCATGATCTCATGTTTGTGAGTTCGAGCACCACATCAGGCTCTGTGCTGCTAGTGTGGAGTCTGCGGTGAATTCTCTCTCTCCTTCACTCTCTGCCCCTCCCCTGCACATGCTTATTCTCTCTCTCTCTAAAAATAAATAAACTTAAAATCCACAATGAAACATGTAATAACTAAATCATTATATCTTGAACACTGGCTAGATGTTATCTATCTATCTATCTATCTATCTATCCCAAATGTTTATTTATTTAGCTTTGAGAGATAAAAATGTGCATGAGTGGGGGAGGGGCAGAGAGTGAGGGAGGCAAAGAATTCCCAAGCAGGTTCCATGCCGTCAGCACAGAGCCCGACAGGGGGCTCAAACTCATGAACTGTGAGATGATAACCTGAGCTGAAATCAAGAGTCAGATGCTTAACTGAGCCACCCAGGTGCCCCTGCTGTAACTCTTACATATTTTTGTCTTGTACTTATCAGCTCTGAGAGATCTTTAATATAAAAAGACAAATAACAATAAAACAATTATTTTGGGACACCTGGCTGGCTCAGTCAGTAGAGCATGCAACTCTTGATCTCAGAGTTGTAAGTTTGAGCCCCATGTTGGATGTAGAGATTACTTAAAAACAAAATCTTTAAAAATAAATAAATAAAAATAAAACAATTATTTCACCATTTCTTACCTTCAGGCAAACGTAATAAGTGATTTCTTCTGACGTTAAGGTCTCTTAGGGCCTCCAAATTACCAACTTGGGAAGGTATTGTTTGAATTTCATTGCAGCTCACATCCTATTTCAAAAAGATATAAAGTAAAGAATTTTTCTAATATTACAAATTTGTCTGCTTTAAACCATCTGTAAAATGAGGTTAGATAAAGATAATACCTATGGTCTGTCTTAACTGTAAAAAAAATTATGATTCTATGTCCAAGAATAAATCCATAGTTTGTACTAGCATTTAATTTTAAAAACTTATAGGCTTCTGATTTTATAGATATTATATGAATCTACATTAATTTTATGAGAACAAAAATTAAATGACTTAAGATGTGGACAGGAAGCTTAGTATCAGATCAAATGAAAATTCTAGTGAAAAAGTAAATTAGAAAAAACTATAAAAACATCTATTTAGGACAATATTTTATTAAAAACAATTTTTTTTTACATTTATTTATTTTTGAGAGACAGAGAGAGACAGAGCGCAAGCTGGGGAGGGGCAGAGAGAGAGGGAGACACAGAATCTGAAGCAGCCTCCAGGATCTGAGCCATCAGCACAGAGCCCGATGTGGGGCTCAAACTCACGAACCATGAGATCATGACCTGAGCTGAAGTCAGACGCTCAACCGACTGAGCCACCCAGGCGCCCCAATATTTTATTTTATATGTATTTTAATGAGACTGGAAGAAAAAACCAAAACAATGATAAAAATTATAATGATAAAATTAATTGAAAGGAAATCCTACTTTCAAAATACCAGTTCACCTGCTCAAGAATATAAAAATGCACTGAAGATGACTCAAATCATTCTTTATGAAACTGAAAGTGAGGGGAAAATAGTAAAGGGCACATAACTCATAGGCTATGGAAAAAATAGATACTGCCCTATTGGCATTTGATCAAGTTGGTACCAAGACATGTATTATGTAAGCCTTCTGGTATCTTGGTCAACAGTTTGATAACACAGATTCTGAAAAGAGGCTGACTACAGATTCCAAGACTGACAAATTCAGAATTCCATAACTCTGAGACAAGCCACGAAAATGTACAAATCCATGGGGAACAGTAGGAAGTTGTCTAGGTTAATAAAAGCTCCAAGATGCCATATTAACACTTAAAACTCCTCTAGTATATGAGTAAAAAGAAAATATTAATAGACTTAACTATTAGAAAAGACCACTTGCCAAAAACTTCAAACATTATTTTAAAATTTTCCCATAATATTCTTAGAGAAAATAATATTTTTACTTTTCCTACCAATTAATGACTGAAGTAGAATCAGTAGCTGTATTTTTTATTCCAATGCTCTGAGCAGCAAAGTTAAAAGGAAAGAGGTTGAAAGGATAGGGAAAATTGAGCCGAGCCAGAAGACAACAGTAATTTATAATATTTCTCTTGGAAAATGTGTATCTTGAAAGATAGAGGTTTACTTTCACTTAAAAATGAAGGGAAACAGGGGCGCCTGGCTGGTTCAGTCAGAGGAGCATGAGACTCTTGATCTCAGGGTCATGAGTTCAAGCCCCAC